AAAAAAAAAAAAAAAAAAGACTACAGAGTCTGAGCCCTATCAACCTCCCAATCTAATTTCCTACTACCATCCCTACCCCTGTCACCATTTAATATACCCCAGCACTCTCCAAACTCTAGCACACTAGCCTTCATGCAATTCCTTGAAAATCCCAAACTGATTTCCACCATAGAAGTCTTCCCACTACTATTCCCACTTCTTACAATGCTCCACATTTTGGCATGTCTTACTCATTATTCATGTCTATGTTCAAATGTTACTTAGAGAAGCCTTACCCGGCAACCCATCTAAAAGAACCACTAAACCCATCACTCTCTCATGTACTACTTCTTTCATAGCCCTTCAACAATATCCAAAATCATCTTGATTTATTTAATGGCTCACTGTCTATCTACTGAAATAGAAATTTCAAGAGGGTAGGACTTTGTCTTGTTTACTGCTCAATCCAATCCCTAGCACCTGGCACAATACCTGGCACGCAGCAGGGCTCATTAATTATTTGTTGTTGAATAACAATTGAATTCACCTAATCTGTCTAAACTAACCTATCTATATTTTCATTCTATTATGTATAATTGAATAATTCCTTTCCTGCCTTTAGATTTAGATCTATTGGTTACCAGAATGTTCTTCCTAGAATAAAGTCCTTAAAACAGTTTAGCCTGTTAAAATAGGCTATACTGTACCAATGCCTTTATTTCCATTCTATAAGCAGCCCTACAGATAACTGTGCTAGTTTTTTAGTTTTTATTATAAATACTATTGATAAAGATGAAAAGGTATGTGCAGATTATAACAAATATTTACTTTTTTATACTGCAAGAAACAAAATCATTCTTTAAATAATAGTAACTACAGAAAAGCAAACTTTTTCTTTTTTTTTTTTTTTGAGACAGTCTCACTCTGTTACCCACGCTAGAGTGCTATGGCATTAGCCTAGCTCATAGCAACCTCAAATTCCTTCATTCAAATGATCTTCCTGCCTCAACCTCCCAAGTAGCTGGGACTACAGGCACCCACCACAATGCCTGGCTAATGTTTTCTATTTTTAGTAGAGACAGGGATCTCTCTCTTGCTCAGGTTGGTCTCAAACTTCTGAGCTCAAGTGATCCTCCCATCTCAGCCACCTCACCCAGATGGGAAACCAAACATTTTGGTTTTAGAAAACCAAATTCAGCTCTGCACCCATAGCTCAGTGGTTAGGCCCCCAGCACCTACACAGAGGCTGGGGGTTTCAAACTTGGCCTGGCCTGCCAAACAACAATGACAACTACAACCAAAAAATAGCTGGGCATTGTGGTAGGTATCTGTAGTCTCAGCTACTTGGGAGGCTGAGGCAAAAGAATCACTTGAGCCCAGGACTTTGAGGTTGCTGTGAGCTGTGACGCCATGGCACGCTACCAAGGGCAACAAAGTGAGACTCTGTCCCCCCTCAAAAAAATAAAACATATTGGCTCAGCACCTATAGCTCAACCGGCTAAGGCGCCAGCCACGTACACCTAAGGTGGCGGGTTCGAATCCCCAGCCCGGACCCGCCAAAGCAACAATGACAGCTGCAACCAAAAAAAAAAGCCGGGCGTTGTAGCGGGCGTCTGTGGTCCCAGCTACTTGGGAGGCGGAGGCAGGAGACTCGCTTGAGCCCAGGAGTTGGAGGTTGCTGTGAGCTGTAATGCCAGGGCACTCTAGCCAGGGGGACAGCTTGAGGCTCTGTCTCCAAAAAAATAAAATAAAATAAAATATAAAAACCAAATTCACAGACAGGTGATTACAGTCATATCAACAGCACAAATCATGTTGACAGTACATATTCTAAGCCCAGCCTTATGAGAGAAACATTAAATCCCAATTGAAAGGACATGTTACAAAATACCTGACCAGCATTCAAAACCGTCAAGGACATCAAAAATAGTACAAGTCTGAGAATCTATCATAACCAAGAAGATCCTAAAGATCTATGACTACAAAAAGTATTGTACTGGATGGTCATATTGGATGGACCTGGAACAGAAAAAGGAAAATAGATAAAAATTAAGCAAATCATGGCTCAATGGGTAGGGCACTGGCCACATATACCAGGGCTGGCGGGTTTGAACCTGGCCTGGGCCTGCTAAACAGTGACAAATGCAACAAATGAACAGCTGAGCATTGTGGCAGGCGCCTGTACTTTGGAGGCTGAGGCAAGAGAATTGCTTAAGCCCAAGAGCTGGAGGTTGTTGTGAGATATGACACCACGGCACTCTACCCAGGATGACAGCTTGCAACTCTGTCTCAAAAAATAACGAAGCAAATCTGAATAAACTATGAATGTTAGTTAAAAATAATTTATCATTATCGGTTCATTAACTAGCATAAACATACTATGCTAACATAATATATTAATAATAGGAAAAACTGGGTGCTAGATGTGTGAAAACTGCATACTATCTTTACAGTTTTTCTATAAATCTAAAACTGTTTTTTTTTTTTTTTAATTACTTCTTCCTCCTGTAGTGTTTTCTTGCCCCCCATGGAGCTGGGATCACAAGGTCCGGCTGTCTTGTTGTCCTGTTGTTGTTGTAGAGACAGGGGCTCACTCTGGCTCACTCTGGCTCTGGGGTCTTCAGCTGGTCTCAAACCTCTGAGCATAGGTGATTCACCCGCCTCGGCCTCCCACAGCGCTGGGACAACAGGCGTAAGCCACTATGCCCAGCCTAAAACTGTTCTTAAAAAGTTAAATTTGGCTTGACACCTGTGGCTCAAGTGGCTAAGGCGCCAGCCACATACAACTGAGCTGGCTGGTTTGAATCAGCCCAGGCCCACCAAACAACAATGACGGCTGCAACCAAAATTAGCTGAGCATTGTGGCAGGCAACTGTAGTCCCAGCTACTTGGGAGGCAGAGGCAGGAGAATAGCTTGAGCTCAGGATTTGGAGCTTGCTGTGAGCTGTGATGATACAGCACTATACCCAGGGCAACAGCTTGAGGCTTTGTCCCAAAAAAAAAGTTAAACTTAATTCATCCAAAATCCTCCACCCAAATAAAATTACTGTTAGCTTACATTTGATGTGTCTCTTTTTAGAGTTCTATAACAGGAGTCCCCCCCTTATTCCCAGGTGACAGGTTCGAAGACTCCCAGTACATGCCTGAAACCTCAGAAAAGTACTAACTCCTACGTATACTGTATTTTTTTCTACATATACATACACTGTAATAAAAAATACATGAATGTTGTATCTCTCTCTTGCTCTCAAAGTATTTTCAGACCGGCTCAGCGCCTGTGGCTCAAGTGGCTTAGGGCGCCAACCACATACACCTAAAGTGGCGGGTTCGAATCCAGCCCAGGCTGCCAAACAACAGTGACGGCTACAACCAAAGAATGGCTGGGCGTTGTGGGGGCGCCTGTGATCCCAGCTACTTGGGAGGCTAAGGCAGGAGACTCGCTTGAGCCCAGGAATTGGGGGTTGCTGAGAGCTGTGGTGCCACAGCACTCTACCCAGGGGGACAGCTTGAGGCTCTGTCTCAAAAAGAAAAAGAAAAAAAAAGAAAATATTTTCAGACCACAGTCAACTGCAGGTAACTGAAACTGTAGAAAGTGAAACCTTAGAAAATGAAAGCACAGATAAAGGTGATTACTGTAAATGGAGACATACATTAAAGCTATTATAATTTTGTAACCTGCTTTTTTTCTCTTAAGATATATTCCATGGTTCACAAGTCTTTGGTAGAGACCTATATCATGTTTATAGCCACTCTCCTCTATAAAGGTACCATATTTATTTACCTGATCCCCTATTACTTAACTTTAAGTTTTCCCAATTTTTTCTATTTTCATTTTTCTATTACAAAAAATGCTACAAAGACAAAACTTAAATGATCATATTTGCAAACATACCATAACAAGAAATAGCTTCTGGCTCGGCACCTGTGGCTCAACCGGCTAAGGCGCCAGCCACGTACACCTGAGGTGGCGGGTTCGAATCCAGCCCGAACCCGCCAAACAACAATGACGGCTGCAACCAAAAAATAGCTGGGCATTGTGGCGGGC